CGTCCATCGCTGGCACGCGGTGGACGCCGCGTTATCGATAACCTCTTAAAGTAACTTTCTTAGAAATAACTTTCCAATCACAAAGGCGATTTGATTCCCATCACTGTACGCAAAATATTACGTAAATGTGTGTCCGTGTAAAGTGTACGTGTATGTGTGTGCGTGTGTCGTGTATGTGTGTGCAACCTAGCAAATATATAATATATTGTATATATATAAAACGCTCCAAATAGAAATAAAATTTTACCAATTATTAATCGAATGCGGAGCAAAAGAACTCCCGACAAGTTTGTTTCTCGATTTTTCTCCTTAGTATGCGTTTGCTTCTTTTTTCGTTTTCTACTAAAACGTACAACAATAATTTTTTTTCAGTCTAATACATTCCAAAGCACCAATTCGTTATAATTCCCCGATCCAATATGGCCGACACAGCCGAGTGTCCAGGCCATGACGTGTTTCCTTTCGAGAGAGAATTCTCGCGTTCACGTTCGATGCGCGCGCTTACACCTAGAAGGAAAAAAAAAAATGGGAGCCGAAATCCTACGTGTTCGTCCTTCTTCCCGACTTAATTTTCCCCGTCTCACACCGAATCCTCGATTTCACCGATAATTTCGTTACTTTACAATTAGTATGTATAGTAGTTATCGTTATATAATTACTAGTAGAAGATACGAGACGCGCTTGAGATTTTCTCGTCGTGTGTTTATCGAACAAGCGCACGCTGTTGAACATCGTGTGATGCACGATCGATCGAGTTTCGCTGGTATAGTTATATAGTTGTGCCTCGTTGCAACTTAACATTTTCACTTTTCTCTCTCTCTCTCTTTCTCTCTCTCTCTCTCTTACGACTAGTAAAACGACGATGTACACTCGAGCTGTGAGACGAATTTACAAGCTAAGAAACGCACGTGCTCGTAATCCCGTGTAAAAGCTAGTATAGTTGTCGTAAAATTTAATATAGTTGATAGTGGCAGCATACACTTGCTTCGACGTCGTTCTCTGTGCTTTTTTTTTCTTTTTTTCTTTTTTTTTTCGTCGTTTTTAGTAATGAAATATTTATACTTTTGAAGGCTGATAATAATCGCTGGTATAGTCGTTAGTATAGTTCTTAACTGTAGTTAATCGTCGTCGACATTGATCACGCAGTTCGAAACTAAAGGTGAACCGATCGCTAATTCATCGACAGTAAAAATATCACATATGCACGAGCAATTAACGATTAGTATAGTCGATGGAGATGCTCGAACTACGAGGAAACAACTATAGTTCAATCTATACAACGCGATTGAAAATCGACTATCCAAGAGAAATTTTCGATCGAATCGAATTAAATGCGCTCAACTATACTTCATTTCAATTTAGAGTCGTGATTAATAGTGAACTACTATTACCTTTTTTCAACGAACAATTGCCATATCCCAGGCACGTTATTGCAATTAAAAATGGCTAGCTGCGACCTAATAGTAAATTTCAAACAACTCTGAGTGCTAACTATTGTCGATCAGAGAACAACTATAAATTGGATTGACCGTACTTAATTTTAATTTAATTTGAATCTTATAAATCGCGTTCCCCTCCCCAGCGGAAATTTGTTCACTCGAAGAACTCGAATGCGAATTTCGAATCGAGGCAACCATAACGGTCCAAACAACTATATCCTCACTCGATCGATCGCGCGTATGTGTTTGGTGTGTACGCGTTCTTCCTGTGTGGTATATTCGCGTGCATTCTTTGTGATGCAAGTACAAATGTTAGTGTTAAGTGTTAGTAGTAATAATAACAGCGGTAACAGGAGCAATAATAGTAATAAATAGTAGTAATAGTAGTAGTAGTAGTAAGTCGACTGGGTGCACATCCGACGAGGGCAGGTCCTACATTGACAAACAACGACGGTATCGTTTCTTTTAAAAATCTGTGACAATTTGTACGATCATCAGTACTATATAATAGTAATTCTGCCTTCCACTATATCGTGCCATTTTTCGGTCCTTCTCTGTACTATTTTTCGACACCTTTCACCATCACTATGCTGTTCTTCAGACTTATTCATATGCCTTGCAGCGATGTTTTTTTTTTTTATTTCTAGTGTCTCACTATTTTTTTATTTTATTTTATTTTATTTTTTTTTACTTTTCTTTATATAGTAAATCAACTGTTGAATGTTTTATTGACAGTCGATAAATGTGATGAAAAATTTTTGTACGTTTTGGTGTTAGTATTGGCAGCCCCGAAAATTTTTTTAGCCGATTATAGTTACAACCCTGATTGACAAAATGGTACTATCTTCCTGTTACAACGAATCAATATGCTTATCTTCGTTATTCACGAATTATTTACAACGGCACGCAAAATAATTTCGACGAAACTCAATTTCCACTACCATCCGAAGCTACTATACGATACTAACTTATTGCCGTTTTTACCGCTACTATAATTTTATTATGCGCTTTACGAATCTCGAGAAATAATCGATGAAATTTCCAAAATGAATTTTCTACGCTCGAATAGTTCGCGAATGGTATCAAATCATTTTTTCCAGAAACTAGAAAAACGCTACTTTCGCTAATTAATTTCTTTTTTTTCCAAAATTGAGCAATATTCTTAAACATCACAATGATACCAAATTTCGAGATGTTGTTAGTATAGAAGTCATAAGAAGACCAATTTCACGAAGAATTTTTACATCACCTGGCAAGGTGAAAAATTTTACAAAGAATTCGAGAATTTTTCAACAAAATATTTTTTTTTTCCCCTCAATTTTTCGTGACACTGGTCCAAAATGGTTAGTCAACGAAGATTCAGAGGCAGGGTGAAAAACACAGGTAAAAGTTTCGATTAAAATTCTCAGGGCTCCTTACATTTCTCTCTCTCTCTCTCTCTCTCTCTCTCTCTCTCTCTCTCTCTCTCACACACACACCCTCTCTCTCTCTTTCTCTCGTTACAAATAACAATTATGTACAATATAAATCGTATATTCCGCGGACGAGAACAGAAAAAAAAGCGGAAAACGAAAATCCTTTCGTACGCGTATTAAAAACCCAGAAAATAATGCATCGAACTACCATAACAAAGTATAATCATTTAACTTTATTTATAATAATCTTCAGCTTATAAGCTTCCTCCGTTCCTTGTTTTTCTTCGTTTTCTACAGCTTCCAATAAATTAAAACGACTCCCACCCCCTCTTTCTCGCTCGCTCTCTCACTCTCTCTCTCTCCAACTCGCGATTAATACAAGCACCTTCCTCTCACTGTGGCACTCTTTCATTCTCGTTCTCACTCTTTCACTCACGCTCTTTCTCTCCCTCTCTCTCGCAGGGCCGAACGTTGCCTCCAATAAGAAAATACCGTATCTCAACCGTCTGTTGGCTAATTACGAACGCGGGCCGTATAGAATCATTTCCCATCCTGCTTCAACGCGTGGCTCAAGTATCAGGTTACGTTCACGGTGACTGACTGCCTGCGACTAAACACGCGGTGTTTATAGCCGCCCAGCGCTCAGGGACACAGGCTCCCATCGCCAATCGACCTTCGCTTTCTACGTTCGTTTACAATTCGTGGTCGAAGGATAAGTCTCGAGACCGATCGCTGAAAGACAATGCGATCGCCACCGATTATTTTTCATCCTCCTCTATTTCTAACGCGGATGGATTCTAAAATCGAATTTAAAAAAAATCTTTTTTCGCGATACTTTTTTTTAATAAAAATCTTTTCTTTCGTCTCCGAAAAGACACGAAAGAGAAGGGACAATGTGACACGCGTCACTCTCGGGTAACATTAACGAGGCCAATTAGTTCTGTTTTATCGACAGAGATATATAAATCCCTGCTGATAACGTTGTTTCCTTAATTTCCTACTTCCAGCAGTCGTCACCGCGTACACAATCCACAATCCGCGAAATTATTATCCACACATCTGCGTTTACGCGTGTGCACACGGCAGGCAAAAGGGAGGACGCCTAGGAGAAACGGACAGACCAGGGTACCCGGGCGGACAAACAGACAGACAAGAGAGATTGCGGCACGATGCGCATACATATGATACATAATCAGCGTGTGTAATGATCCATGTGTGTAGCGTGTTCGTACGCGCGCATACGTGCGCTTATGCTCGCGTAGTGTGTAGGTGTGGCTCGACACATTTAAAAGGAGTATTATAGTTTGTCTCTTAAAAAACACAGAAACTCGAGTCTACGCTTGGCAGTATCATGAACAATCGCTCGCTCGTCCATCGACAGAGAACTCGAGCGGGCGCACGTACTATATATATGTATATATATATATATAATAGATGTATGCATGTGTGTGTGTATATATATATAATATATATATTTTGTGTTTTTTTCTTTATCTCGTTTTCGTTATCGCTTATAATATCTCTAGATGTCACCTGATGACGCGCGTGGTAGTAGTAGTGTGTCTCCCCTTGTTCATTTTTTTTTCTTCTCTGTCGTTTTCTAATTACTTTTTAAATCTGTTGCAATAGCTTCGAGAAAAACAACTACGACACATTTAGATAATGAGAAATCGACGTCGACGGTTAACGCCCTTGGCAGTGATCGTAGAATTGCATGTAGTTTTTCTTTCGTTCAAATGTGCATGTGTGTAAGTTCCCTGTGTGTACATCTGTGTGTGTGTGTATAGATCGGTGTATGTGTGTGCGCGCGTGTCCTCTCTCCTTCGTGCGTTCATCGCCCCTCCACACGCACTTCCTTGCACTCTGTCTCTCTCCCTTTTCTCTCCTCTCTTCTCGGCTCACGCTCACGGAGCAACGTGTGACCGGTTTCTGATTCGTCGAAGGATGCGGTTCACCTTGATTCCCGCTGGATCTCTCAACGTCAAACTCGTCCGAGAGAAAACATCGCCACAGGCGATGCGGGGTTTCTACGTTTTTCTATGGGGCGACATCTGTCGCCCGCCATGCGAACTAGCCCGACGCGACACCAGGAATCACGGTGAGCAGTTTGCGCAGGTCCTTCGCTCAACGGGGAAGCCCTAAGAGTGTCGATGACGACCTGCCGTCGACGGGCCGTGACGAATTTTTCCTGCGCCCCAAGATACAGGGGGAATATCTCCATTCTGAGAACGTCGTTTCCTCCTGTCGTTCTCCCATGCAAGACACTGACTACCTTCTACCACCACCTTATTTTATTGCACGATTTTTGCTTTGGCATCGAACCAGGAGTACCCAAACTGTTCTCTTCGTTTGAATGGTCAAGCTCTGTAATTTTAACCTGGCTGTGAATTTATCCACCTTGCGTGATTACATTCAGGGTACTTTCCTCGCTTTCCCCCGTTGAAAGCAATTAAGTTCCCTAGAAGAAGTTAAAGTTCTTAAATTAGTCGAGGTTGACGCAGTCAACGTTCTTTCCTAGGCAAGTCTATTGCATTAAAAACAGCGAGATTCTCATCGGTAACAGGCTATGACAGGTAAACTTCAATAAGCGGCAACAATTCGGAACAGATAACATGTAATATAATTCTAACAGTGTGGGAAACTTTATCAACAGAAGCTCATCGCAAGAAACACAAGTTGTGTACCCTAGTCGAGGGAGACAAGAGCTTGATCATTCCAACTGAAGCTTGACTCAACCCTAGGGGTAAACGTCAGTCGCTGTTCCCGTGTATGAGAGAACGACTTGACAGGGTGCTATTCTTCAGCAATGGCGATTTAACCGCGGACATCTTTGTAAAGTGTCCATTTCTAGCGAGTGAAAAGGAAGTAGACGATTTTACAAGCTGTCCTCGCGCGCAGTACGCTTAAACGTTAACTCTTAAAGAACTCTAAAGTCCAAACGAACGTGTTACGGTCGTCGACCCGTGGTACAACCTCAAAGATGCTCGTTACCACGGATCGACGACACACAGCTACTGTACAGGTGTATACAATAGGCAATGTCGTCGCGATGTGTGGTGCTTTCAAGAAAATTTTCCTTCCGTTCTCATTCCTCATTCATTCCTCATCCTCTTTCTTTCCTTTTTTCAGCAAAAACGGCGATGTTCAAAAGCACTCGATGTGGTAAACGCACGAGTGTGTTTTTGTCGTACAACAAATGCGGAGTACAGGTGTGTGCAAGTGTGCTGGTGTCTCTGTACAGGTCCCCTCGGCCTCCAATCGTTGCTGGGGTCACCTTTTAACAATTATCCTGTGCTTACAACAACTTCCACTGGTAGACTGTAATCCTGATAGTTTTGGATGTCTACTGTTACTCTTAAATGTAGTCACGTTAACTGATCAATCTCGATCACAACAGAGGGGTAGAAATTAGCCCCCAGCAACGCTCTGATAGGGTGTCCGAAGTTCCAAGGGGTGTCATATCTTGCTGATTCTGGAGAATAACGCGTGCCGCATGAAGCTAGAAGCGACAACCACGTCGGTGGGTAATGGCGGTGATAGTTTGGGTGTCCTTCTTCCGGTTTTCTTTCGCAACTCCATCTTGTACCATCACAACGTTCTTTCCACGCTGTTCTGCGGTGTGGCAGTGTCTGCCTTGCGGCATTTTGCATACTTAATAGATCTTTCATTGTCTTGATAGACTTCAAGGGGACTGTCTGACCCCACCATCCAAATCATGCCGATCCGAGGTATCAAAGGTGTCCAAACCTAATGGACGTGACGATCAGCGATGATTATTGGGTCACGTGACTCGTGTATAGCATTGATTCTTGAGTATCGAGTACGGGAACGTGTTAGAATCGTCCCAGACCGACATGATTGGAGAAGAACGATGTTACTCGAGTATAGTAACGTGCCGCATAAGTGTTTCGCTTCGTTCGACGTATGACAGGTATAACTGTACAATAGTAAAACACAGTACGTGTGTCTATAAGATGTTTCTATTCTGTTCTAGGCGAAGTATTAATTAAGTCTTTCTCTTGTCCACCGTTTCATGTATGGAACTGCCATCCACGATGACTACACGTTATATCCAGTCTCACTATGCTCGCCAGCCTTTCATCTGGATCTCCCTAACTGCTTGTTTCTTTTGTCGTCGAAATTAATAGACCGCCTGTTAACTCCAACCACCTCTGATCTTTCCCGATGCTCCTACTAAACTCAACGAACTCTGCACGCGTTGTACGTACATTACACGAATTTACGTTTCTTTTTTTCATTTTTTTTTTTTTTTTTTTTTTTTTTTTTTTTTTTTTTTTTTTTTTTTTTTTTTTGGTTTGCTCGTTTAATTTACTACGGAATACAACTGCATACGATCAGTTAATAGCATAGAGTTACAGTGTTACAACATTGAGAATCTTAGTGTACAGTGTGGCTCACATTTGTGTCTGTGTGTATGCGTAGGTGTGTGTCTGTAAATCTTTCCCAGTTTTCCAATACTCCTGTGACCAGATCTGCTGTGTTTCTCTGATGTTTCGTGCATGCCTGTACGTTGTGTGTACGTGTGTCTGTCACTCTCGGTTCGTATACGAACCGGCTGAAAGCCGATCGCAGAAGCTACCGCATGTGTCTGCTGATCGGGATATTTTCTCAGTGCCACTTCTCCAGCTTCCTTTCGTTTGTCCTTTAACAGTCGAGTGTGTTTTTATGCTAGCATTGTATGTCCCAAGGTTTAGCTAATCTTGGAGACGCAACGTGTCGAAACGTATCATCATTCCCCTAAGTTCTCACTTCCAGTTCGTGTCTTCAGCTGATTTGGCGTGACCCTGTTCCGTGTTTCTCCTTATTAAAAAGATCTTTCGTTTCCGCAGTTCCTGCCAGTTTTTCACGTAATCTGCTCTCTCTTACTCGCTCTCGTTCTCTCCCCCTATCTCTCTCTCTTTCTTTCCTCTTCCAGCTCAATGCTTTTCATGCACTCCCTCTTACACCCTTTCCTTTCTCTCCCTCTCTTCCTTTCTCACCGTCTAAACGCAATTTAATATTCCATATACACTCACTCTCCCTCTCTTTCGTACTATCTCTCGCTCTACCTTTCTCTCTCTCTCTCTCCCTCTCTCTCGCACAGATTTACAATATTTTGCTTGGTTTTGTTGATTTTTTCATCTTTTTTTTTTATTAAAAAATTAAAACGGACGGTTAAATTTTACGATTTCGTTTGTCGGTGAGCCGATGTCCGCTGCTGAAGGCACAAGGCTTTGCACTTGAACTCGGTCACCTAGCCTAGCTTCACTGACTTACTACAACCTACTACCAACTAGCCTCGCTTACTTTTACTTTACTTAACGTCCTACATTGCTACTACACTTTTATTCTCTCTTTCTCTCTTCCCACCCATCTCTCTCGTTTCCCTCTGCTCTGCCAGTACGCGAAAAAGAAAACCCGGACGCGCGCAAATGCCAAGCCTCGTCTTCGACACCTGTTCGTCGCGGAAAAACCGTTCCTCCTCTCCATCATTCACCGTCATCATTATGATCAAACTCTAACCACCTCTTTCTCTTTTCTTTCCTTGTATAAACAATGTACATGCTAGCAATATATTATTATGCTATGTGTTGTGATATAGACTCTATGGTATCATTATGTATAATCGTATCGTTTGTTATTTTCCATCATCATCATTTTTCTTTCTTTGTTATTTCGCACTCGATTCACGAGTCGGCCAGGCCAGGTCGCTGCTCAACAGCCGGCCCGCCCATTCGTCCCATTCTACTCCTTTCTCCGCACACGGCTACGCAAGGAGTGCTATTGATCCTGTCTGTCCTACCATCATCACCATCATCATCATTATCATCATCATCATCATCATCATCATCATTATCATCATCGTTATCATCATGATTATCATAGTATCTTCTCAATTACATCTCAGCCAAAAATTCCACACGCATACAGTACACACACACTCCCTCTCTCACACTCTGTCTCTTAGCTCTTCTGGTTACACTCGTACTCGTTTTGTTGCTCTTACAACGCGCCCGCCTTTAGCAGGTATCTTATACATTACACATTATACATTTACATATCGATTTCGGGGGTAGTCAGGTAGAGGATATAGTAATAACGTAACTGTAGGTAGCTCCTTATTACAGTTTCTGTACTGTCTCTACGTATCACAGCCTGGGTGCCTCGCCACTGCCTTCGGTTCTTCCTGACTTCATCGTACATACATCATCGTCATCCTCCGCGTCTAGCTCCAAACTAGCACTGCCAAATGCTCCCCCAGCCTCATGGTAACTTCACAAGACCGGTATAGAGCTGAGAGAAGGTGAGAAGCGAATTCTGTACGTGCCGATGCTATTAGACGACATCGGTCTACTACTCAGGCAGTGGCATGGTGGTGCACTAGTACAGGAGGTTCTCCACGTCCACGTTCCACGTCTGCCGATGATGCTGTGCTCTATCAGCTTCGTCGTCTCGGACGCCTCGCGGACTCGCGATGAAACAACACTGTTAGCCGACAGGGATCGGCAACGGGGAAACTAGGGTGTCACGTCCCAGATCTCGGCGAGGAAAACTGGCAGCTTTTTGTTCTTGAACTTCAAACTGAAGCACATCTCGCTGTTCTGGTTGCCGAGTGTCCGCAGCTCGGTCAACACAGAGAGCAGCTTCGCGAAGATCGTGCCGGACTTCGGCCTGCGCCGGTTGTCCACGTACGCCTTTAACGCCTCCAGGTAGATCTCTTGAATCTTCTCGACCTTCCAGCCTTCGAGCAGGTTCGGCCTCTCTGCAAGAAAACAGGAGGATCTTTTCTCTGTAGCCTGGGCTCAAGGGCTTTAGTCGCGAATCGTGATTGCCGATAAGTTAACGGTGTTTATTACACCAGTACTAATCTCAAGGTATCCACAACGATCTTCACTTTCGAGTGAAAAATTGAATCATGTTCTCACGGACTATCCGATGAATTTTTATACCATACCTATGATTCGAGAACGCCTAATACTTTACACTGGTTAATCAAATCTATGTACCTGAGAATATGACAATGGCCGTCAGCAACGCGTACTCAGCATTGTTCACTTTCATGGTGTACATCTGCCGGCAGAAGTGTAGCAAATCCTCAATCGTCTCGCCCATGCCTGCTACGTTATAGCTGTCCCTGGTATAAGGCTGATTATTGGCGAATATTATGCTGTCTGTCTGCACATCATACTTCCTCGCCATTCGGAGCATCATCACCTCGCTGGAACAGGCTTTCAGCAGAGCGATCTGATCCTCTCGCATTAGCTCGTCGAAGCCGGGTAGCCTCTTCGAGAACTCGACGATCAACTGCACCGTCAGGATCGTAATCTCGGTGATGTGCCTGAACTTGTAGTCACTGATATCCTCACCTTCTGAGGGCTGATTCTGAAACAAGGCGAAGCAAAATTATACCTCTAGGAAAAGTTTCGTTAATTCTTCTACCGTTAGACAAGGAATTGGGAATCACTCTTTACAAGTCAATTTCAAACACCTCCATTATACACTATAGTATCACTGCCCAAGGAGAGTTTCTCACGTTTGCGTTGCCAGGCTATATAGAGATGCGACCATGCTCCGTGCATAATGACTGTATACGCAAACGCTAGCTTATTACAGCTAGATGTGCGAAGGGAATCCCGTCGTGGCACTGAGCTAAGCTTTACAATTCATACTGCAAAGTAACCTCGAAAATAAAAATCCCCTAGCAGCTACGATACCCATTCCTTCGACTAATAAGTGTCATTTAACAAAATTTTCTGTCACTCTAACGCAATCCTTCCCTTTAAAACGGAATACTCGTTCACTAGTCCTACTGCACAATGAAAGCAACATTCGATGAGCTGAACTGAAAGGTTTTTGGGCTGACGATGTGTAATTTCGAACACTCACCGTGATCCTTTTGAGATCCTCCTCACTGGGTTGCTCGTACTCGTTCTGGAAATACACGAGCCTGTGTATCAGCTCCTCCTGCTCCGGGCTGATTGGTTTAATGTAACCATAGGGGCTGACCGGCGTTAGAATGCCGCTGCTTCCAGACGTGGACAACGACTCGGCTTCCGCTGGTTCAATCTTCACGCCCATTTGGTCGCTGCGTATCCCGCTGCCTGGAGAACCATTCATCGTTGTACTGTTCGGCTTGTCCTTCTCCTGGAACAAAACGTCCCCTTCCTGACTGATCCTGATCTACAAAGAGTTCCAATCCTACATTCGATCACAGGCTACGCTCGTAGACCTACCTTCTGCGCCTTCTTCTCCTTGCGCTTCACGGCGCACTGGTACTCTGGCACGACGCACTCAGGCCTCATGCCCACGGTCAAACATTTCTTTAGCCTGCATTCCTGACACTTGCGCCGCATGTACATATCGATCTCGCAATTGTTCCCGTATTTACACTGGTACACCGCGTTCTTCGTGATGCTGCGCCGGAAGAAGCCCTTGCAGCCCTCGCAGGTCAACGCGTTGTAGTGGTAGCCGGAGGCACGGTCACCACACACCAGGCACAGTTCCTCCTGCTGCCTTGGGGTCGGTCCTTTCTTCTTCCTGGCGTCGCAGCCGTCACTGCCGCCACCACCACCTCCGCCACCTCCTCCACCTCCGCCTCCGCCACTTCCATAGCCGTTCAAAGAGCCAGGCTGCGACAGCTCGTCCCTACCTGCAGGACACAAGTTCCAAATCGTATCAGACCCAGTTTTAACAACGTTTTAGTTTTTAACCCATTCGAGGCGGCGATTTTTCTCGAACACGGTCCCCAGCAGCGACTACTCAGAATAACTGATAAATGCTCATTGTTATTACTGCACACACGGCGTGCAACCGATATTATAGCCTCGGAAATCAATTGCATACACGGTATGCAGTCGGTCTCGAATAGGCTAATGGAGTATGAAAATTCTGGTTCTGCTGTGAGCTTCCAAATGTTACTGCTGACTGACAACAGCTAAAATATTGCACATCTAGGGGTAACATGAAGCCCCTGTTATCCCACATTATATCAGTGATACTCTAGGTTCAAACATCGCAATGAGTAGTATTATATTTGAAAAGACTACTTCCTATGTAATTCTCATTTTGTTATCCTATTTTTAGCAGTTAACGAAGTTAAAACAGGCTTGATACCAGTATGCAAAGAAGTCGAAGGGTGTAGAGGAGGTTAACACTTTAGGTTCCACAAATAGGCGACTCCATTTCGAAAAATTTCTGAGGTATCATTCTGAATCGATGTATTTAATCTAGTATTGTATTTATAGTCTATTAATCAAGTCTCCATGAAATAATATGAATTCCTTGTTATCCTAAATTCCAGCAGTGACAGTCTAGGTTCCGCCAATAGGCAATTCTAAGCATCCCAATGAGTCTCTTAGGTATCATTCCGCATCAGGTGTGTCTTAACCTAGTATTATACTTGAAAATACTACTTCCTACCTACTGGTTGAATTTCTTACCCTATCCTGAGAAGTTAACCAACCCAAAACAGGCTGTATACTTGAAAATACTACTTCCTACCTACTGGTTGAATTTCTTACCCTATCCTGAGAAGTTAACCCCAACCCAAAACAGGCTAGAGACCAGTATGCAAAGAAGTCGAAATGTGTAGAGGCTCTAACACTTTAGGTTCCACAAACAGGCAACTCTATCCCGCTAAGTTTCTGAGGCACCATTCTGACTCACGTGTGTTCTATCTAGTATTGTATTTATAGTCTATTAATCCAAAGTCTCCGTGAAATAGCATGAAGCCCTCGTTATCCTAAATTCCATCAGTAACAGGATATTCCCTGTTACTCTAGGCTCCATGAATAGGCAACTCCATCCGAACGAGTTTCTCAGACATCATCCTGAATCCCGCGTGTTTCAATCCAGTATCAGATTCGAAAAGTCTCCACGAAATAACTGAACCTAGTTCCTAGACTAGTTCCTACGCACTCGTCGAATTTCCTACCCCGTCCCGTGAAGTTAGCCAAGCCAAAAGAGGCATGAGCATGCAAAGAAGCTCTTCTTCCCGGTTCCGAAGGAGAATTCTGCGTCTAAGCTATGCGATTCGCCGGCGCGAGTTGCTCGCGAGGTTTCCGGTGATTACGAGGCACGTTACGCCGCGGCTGGTGCACGCGTGTAACGTCCGTGACTCGCTCGGCCGCGAGCAAGCGGGTTCCAGTAACCTACGTGGCGACATCGCCTCTATTACCCCCTTTATCTGTGAAACTCGTCGAATGGAACGCCGCGCGGTAGAAGTCACGGTCGGTGAAAGTACGCCGCGCGCTCTGCACGCGCCTTCCTCGAGCGAGGAGGAACCGAGCGCCGCGTGGCTCCTGGCTCAGCGGACTCGTGGTGCCACGACGAATCGCGATGGGTGTTCTTCGAAGCATCGAACTCGCAACTGCTCCGGTACCATCCTACGAACTCGCAACTGCTCCGGTACCATCCTACGAATTAGACTGACCAAGATTCCCTATCCAGCTAAATCTGCCGACTCTCTGTTGCAGATAAGAGATCAGCGAGGAATAGGTGAGTGAAGGTATGCACTTGGATTTCATAACCTTCTGCAGGGATCACAGGTATCGGGTCATTTAAATGGCGCCAATTTTGATTAAAATACGGATATTCAAATTGGGTACTTTGCATGATAGTTATGTTGACTGGACTGTGGAAGGATCGAGATGGTTTTCGCAGTCAGAATAATTCAGGTTTGCTTCTTGACCACAGTTTATTTCCTTTTGTGGCTGCCTACAGTGTGGTTACTATTTTTTATCTTGCCTTTGCTCTGTGCCTCTTTGCTCTGACATGTCTGTGCCCATGAATCTCGAAGAATTCCGTTAGCAAATGAGAGATTTTATAATATTAGGAATTTGAAGGATACGTTGATTTCTGTGAGACGAGCGTCGATGATGGATAGAATGTGTTTTAATGTTCATTTAAGTTTCGCCATTTTTTGGGACAATCGAGTTTTTCATCGATAGGTGCTGTAATACGAGGAGTGGATGCTTTGATTTTCTCTCGTTGCGAAAAGCGAACGTGCTCTCTCTCCTTCTTGGCGATTCCGCGAAGAGAATCCTGAAGACGGGTTCCTCGGATCACCCGGAAGTACTGATCGCCGTGAAAACATCCGCCTGGAACACTGAGACACTGACCGGGCTAGGTGGTCACTCGGTTATTACCCCTTCTTCATCGCTCTGGCGACTCAACTCGTGATCTTTTCACCTCTGATAGCTTTATTTCTCCTCTCCTTTCCATTTCCTTGCTTTTCCCGCGACTTTTCTCCAGTTTCGTGAATTTCCATGCTTTTCGGGAAATTCAAAAATACGCGAATAACAGATTTCTGTGCTTGGGAAAAATGTTTTGGGTCTATTTTGGATAACAATTTCATATTTTAAGTCTTCGATTCCCGATATTTAACTAGGGCCCTACCGCGTCGTCGTATCTTACGAAAAAAGTTACTAGATCGTATCCACGCGTCGTTTAGGATTTTTGCGCGTTGGGATATGTTAAGGGCTCTTGAATTATAATTTCCAACGTGATTTCAGATGAAATATACATCACGAGTCCATAACGTTCGTTTTCTTTGCCTCCCGTAACATTGATGTAGCGTTGTAACTTGAGCATGCTAACAAATATGACTGGATAAGAACTGTCGTTAATCAAATAAACGATAATTATTGTGGAAACTGCGATTTATCATTAAATTGCTATCCCTTGCAGTTTGCGGGGTGGCTAAAAAATACTTGGCCGGTAATAAATCGGCTAAATTTCGCCACAAGTCCGAGGCAAGGCTCTAGAAACCACCACGGGCCAGAGATCTCGCTGCACGGGAGAAACTGAAGGCTAATAAATTACTGGTATGACCTGACACTGGCACAAAACTGATACCACCGCCAGTTTGTGTACATATTAGCAAGTAGCACATAACGATTCTATGTAGAGCGAACAGGCCTCTCGTTTCAGTGCCCCAAACAGGTTTCCTTGCTACTTAACACTGACTCGCTGCTGGTATTCTTGCTAGTTTCTTGCTTACCGTGATATTGTCAAAATGCGATTCAAACGTTCGTTTAATGATCAATTATTCGTTTCATATATACGAATGAAAGTGATTAAAAAATTTACCGAAAATGAGAAACTTGGCAGATTTGTTTCTCCCACCTTCTCAAGACACCGGACAATCTTTTCGTAGTTAAATTGTTCCGATAAATTGAAATCTGGGGATTTTTTCGATTATTTTCCAATAAGTCACTAGATCGTTACGCGTGTTAAAAAATTTTATAATAATTCGCTCGATGCTGAGACGAAGCACGCCGAGAGTCACGATCAGCTACGGTGAAGTCTCTGATTTGCAAACAATCAGGGGTCAAAGTTGGAAAAACTTATTCGCGCGAATACGAAAAATAAGCAGGAATCCTTATAGCGAGCCAACTTTCTTGCTGCTGACCTTGACACTGACTTCTTTCCTCCAAGCCTGTGTATTTATAGAGTGCAAGATGGGAATTCAGAGTCTGAGGGATTCAGAGACCGAGGAAGAGTCTGGAATCTTTTAGTGTGACTAAACAGTTTGAATTCATGCACGATGTGGCAATGACTTTTAGACGCTTCCTGAATGTACAAAAAACTTCAAACGCTATTTAAAATTCTCTTCCACTACTAAATTTCACAGCTTCACCTTGGAATTTCGACAAAAAGACTTACATAGACTGGTTCAGCTTGGTCAAAAACCTGAATGATCAGCAAGATTCGACGAAATTCAGTTTCCATTTATTCAGCAATGTCAAACGTTCTAGATTCCTTCCTCGAATTCCCAAACAGAATTTCGGGGACCCTAAAGAGCTAAATTACTATAGCATCTTGATCACACACACGCGGTGACATACAGTAGAAGAATAGTTAAAATCGTTTGGATTTTTCGAATCTGTTTTTAAATGTCACGTGACATTAAATGTTCCTCGGGTTGAATTTTTAACGAGTCCAAAAATTTGAAGATGATAAGAGAACCTGACCACGATCATCCGCTCTGTACGAGATAGTTATTGTCTATACGACGTGTTAGAAACCACACAGTCTAAATTGAAGTCTAAACTTCACCAGGTACAGTGTCTACCAGACTAAATACAGTTAACATCGACGCTCGCTAGAACGCAAATACCAAAGAAACTTCCGTCGATGCATCTCTTATTATACGCTACCGTTAAAAATCCTAACCTCGAAAAATTCTTCATACGATCGTAAAATAAACATCGAATCAATCCCGATCCCCTCAAACTCCTCGAAATCCCATCAATCCTGATCCCCAAAACGATCATCGACCATCTTCGTCGACCAAAAAAAAAGAAAAAAAAGAAAAATTGGTCAAATTTGAACTCGAAACATCGACGTCGAAATGGAATTTCAACGATGACCGACGTTAAACTTGCACAAAAATATAGAAAGAATCAGTTATAAGGAAAATTAAAAATCCTAACCTCAAAAATTTCTTCGAACAATCGCAAAACGCGCGAATAGTTATAATTCTCGAATCAATCTCGATCCTCTCGAACTCATCGAAATTCCACCGATCCCGATCCCTAAAATAATCGTCCACGATTTTTGTCGATCTAAAAAAAGAAAAATTGGTCAAATTTGAACTCGAAACATTGACGTCGAAGTCAAATTTCAACGATGAGCGACGTTAGATTT